AGCCTAGGCATGGGCTTTAGGAGCGCTAGCTCAGGGAAAAGGCCCAAAGATACTTATTCTTTGAACTGAAAAAGGATGTACAGTAATAAAAATTTGTGCGATTAGTATACACCATAATACCATATACTACGTACATCAATTTTAATTAATGTTTTGGAATAAATGGTAATTAATTAGTGGTTACTTAAGAGTGAGTTATTAGGGTATATGTAAGGACGGATTAGTCATTTCATTATTTAGGTTTTGTATCTATTATTTTATATATATATATATATATATATATATATATATATATATATATATATATATATATATATATATATATATATATATATATATATATATGCAGCGCCAAGGCTCGCTAAGGGAGGTAGAGTCGTATTAATCTGAATACTCGCACATGGTATCAGAGTCAGCGTGATACAAAGGTCACGGGTTCGAATCTCATCCATCCCTCCTTTCAAAGTGGAATATTAACGCTGGGTATGGTAGGGCCCATGCTACATCCACACTTCAAGCCCAATGGGCTCTCGTTTGAGAGGGCATGATAGAGTATAAAACATATTCCTGGGCTTCAACCATCAGCTTAAACTTTTGGTTGAGTTGTTCTGAGTCAACTACCACGCCAGTCAGTCAAGCTCGGTCAGCAGAATAGTCACATTCAGTGCTTGTGTCACCTGCAACGTCAGCAAGTCAGTCCCAGTCACCAAGTTCTGCATCTAGTCTTCCTGATTCCACTTCTGTCTTGGTCAGTCCTAGCAAGTCCCTGTCAGCATCCCAAATGGAGTCACAGTTAGTGTCCTAATTAGCATCACCTAGTTCGAGTCAGCTAGTCTCTAATGAACTTTTTTCGCATGACAACTTCAGCCCCCCTTTTAGCTACTAACTCTCCCAATATGGTCACGCGTTTAAAAGATGGAATTGTTAAGCCCCGAAAGTTGTTTAATTTTAAAACTGATGTTCTTGAGACTGAACCAACTTCGTATAAACAAGCCTCCGAGGATTCTCGTTGGCGTCAGGCCATGGCTGATGAGTATAAAGCTTAAATGGATAATGAAACTTGGGATTTGGTACCTCGTGACAACAATTGCAACTTGCTCGGTTGTAAGTGGGTATATAAGATAAAGTATAATTTTGATGGTACTGTGGAACGACTAAAATCTAGACTAGTTGTTTTTGGTAATCATCAACAGGCAAGTTTGACTAATTTGAAACCTTTAGTCCAATTGTCAAGCCTATTATTGTACGCTTGGTTCTCACTATTGTTGTTACTTTTAAATGGGTTATTCGTCAGTTAGATGTAAAAAATGCTCATGGATTTTTTACAACCTCCAGGTTTTGTTGATCCTTCCAAACCTTCACATGTTTATCGTCTTAAGAAATCCATTTATGGCTTGAAACAAGCTCCCCGTGCTTGGTTTTCTCGTTTTAGCAATTTTCTTCTTTCTATTGGTTTCAAATGCAGCTACAATGACAATTCTATGTTTACTTTACGCTATAAGGGTCACATTGTAATTCTCCTCCTTTATGTTGATGATATAGTTCTCACTGGTAGTAGTTCTGCTTTGGTCCATAAGTTCATTAAACTTCTTTCTTCTTAGTTTGCCATGAAGGATTTAGGGGATTTGCACTATTTTCTTGGGATTTAGGTAGTGCGTTCACCATCAAGCTTGTTGTTGTCTCAGCAAAAGTATGTCCAAGATTTACTTCATAAATTCCACTTGCATACTGTCAAGCCTGTACGCACTCCCATTGCATCTAAAGTCACCATGTCCCTCTATGATGGAGAGCTTCTAGCTTATCCTACAGATTATCGTAGTATGGTTGGTGCATTGCAATATTTAACTATGACACGTCCTGATATTGCTTATGTTGTTCATATGGTTTCCTAATTTATGCATGCCCCTCGTACTACTCACCTTCATGCTCTGAAGAGAATTTTCAGGTACTTACGGGGTACTTCAGAGTATGGATTGTTTCTTCACTCCACATAAAGCTCGTTTGGTAGCTAAAGGCTACAGACAAAGGGAGAATGTTGATTTCTTTGATACTTATTCACCTGTTACTAGAATAACTTCTATTAGAGTGCTAATGTCTCTTGCTTCTGTTTTTAATCTTGTAGTACATCAGATGGATGTAAAGACAGCATTCTTGAATGGTGAATTGGAAGAAGAAATCTACATGGATCAACCAGAGGGCTTTGTCATCCCAGGAAAAGAACATCTGGTATGTAAATTAGATAAGTCTCTTTATGGTCTCAAACAAGCACCTAAACAATGGCATGAAAAATTTGATAACTTAGTCATTTCACATGGTTTTAAGATAAATGGTAGTGACAAGTGCATATATGTAAAATTTGAGAATGACATTTGCACTATAATTTGTCTGTATGTGGATGACTTGTTAATTTTTGGCTCGAATATTCACGCTGTGAATAATGTGAAGCTATTGTTAAATGCTGGGTTTGATATGAAAGATCTAGGAGAGGTGAATGTAATCCTTGGTATTAAGATTACTAGGACAGTAAATGGAGTTTCTTTGGATCAGTCTCATTACATTGAGAAAATCCTAAAGAAATATGGTTACTTTGACTGTAAACCTGTTAGTACACCTTATGATCCCAGTGTAAAGTTATTTAAGAACACTGGTGAAGCCGTAAGGCAATCTGATTATGCGAGCGTCATTGGCAGCCTTCGGTATGCCACTGATTGCACTAGACCCGACATTGCCTATGTCGTGGGATTATTAGGCAGGTTTACTAGTTGTCCTGGTAATGAGCATTGGCATGCTATTGAAAGGGTCATGAGATACCTTAAGAGGACCATGAACCTAGGATTACATTATGAGAGGTTTCCAGCTGTACTAGAAGGCTATAGTGATGTCGACTGGAACACCTTATCAGACGACTCTAAGGCTACTAGTGGATATATTTTCTCTATAGCCGGTGGAGCTGTATCTTGGAAGTCTAAGAAACAGACTATTTTAGCTCAGTCCACCATGGAGTCAGAGATGATAGCACTAGCTTCAGCTAGTGAAGAAGCAGGTTGGTTAAGAGACCTGCTAGGTGAGATTCCCTTGTGGGAAAAACCATTACCTGCTGTCTTGATCCATTGTGATAGTACCGCGGCTATTGCAAAAGTTCAGAACCGTTACTACAACGGTAAGAGACGACAAATACGTCGTAAGCACAGCACTGTAAGAGAATATCTTTCTATTGGAGCTGTGAGAGTGGATCATGTACGCACGGAGAATAATTTGGCTGATCCTTTGACGAAAGGATTAGCTAGAGAGAAAGTCCATAATTCGTCTAAGAAAATGGGACTATTGCCGTTGAAATGAGTTATACATAATGGTAACCCAACCTATAGACTGGAGATCCCAAGAAATAGGTTCAATGGGTAATAACAAGTTATGGAGTGATATGAGTTGATTATGTTTAAATAAACATAAAATTCCTGAAGCGATCAAGGATGAGTTAATAGGAACTCTTAATGAAATCTATACTCCATTTAGAGTGGAGTACCTAGCTACAGGAGTACTCTTGATAGATTCACCTATGTGAATGTGGAAGTGAGGCCGCTTCCTATGAAATGTGTGGCAGCATTTCTAGAGCATTCACTATACTGGGATAGACGTGCATGGCCTTAATAGCACGGGTCTTTAACAACACCAAGAATAGGTCGTGTGAGGTACGTTGTCAGAGATAGGGTTCAAAACTTCGAGTTACCCTTGTTAAATCTGAATCGTATTGACTATGCAGAAGTTCAAGTTGAAAAACACTTCTGTGTATGCACAATCTATATGTGTAAGGATTCTGCTCGAAAATGTTTTCAAAAAATTCAAGTGGGGGATTGTTGGAACAAGTGTGTTTTGGTGTAAATTTTGTGGAAAACAAAAAGTCCCACATTGGTGGGAAATAGAAGTTTGTCCTCCCTTATATTGGAGAATGTGGAGTATTTGGGTGTGGCCCTTGGGCTACCCACATTTTGTGGAGAGGGAGGACTTACCTACCAAGCCCACTTATCACACACGCGCGCCGAACCGAACCGAGCCGAGCCGGGCTGGGCTGGGTTGGGTCGAGTCGGGTTTATTAATTAAACTTAATTTTTGCTCAGTTTTTGAACAAGGCTTAATTACGTAATTAGTGCCTTGATTTTTGCTAAACGGTTTTGACTGGTTATCTCTCTAACGTTTATTTCCAGATTAATTAAACTTTGGCCGTTTTACTAGCTGTTTTGACTGGGTAAATTAACGTTTTAATTGACCGTTTTTGGCGTTAATCACGCTGGTGTTGGAACGGTTTTTGCTACCGTTATACCATTGTTTTGCCTATAAAACATCATGTTATGTTCACTGTTTTTATATAACAAAAAATCACAGAATTTTTCTAATCCCTTTTTTCTCTTACAAAATATTCGAGCAGTGTTCTTTATATTTTTTGGTGGTTAGTTGTCCACTGGTTCTGTGCAAATCCACTAGTATTTTCCTTGCTTAGACAGACTGTTTTATCCTGGGGAACATCCGGTTGTTGTACGAGCTGCTTGCACAAATTAAAGGGCAGTACCGTGAATGTTCTAAAGAGAGCGACATAGTCCGCGACTCAGTCTAATTCCCGGTAACTTTGTTCTGTTTTTATTGTTTACAGCAGTTCGGTTTATAACAGTTCTGCTTTGGTCCATAAGTTCATTAAACTTCTTTCTTCTCAGTTTGCCATGAAGGATTTAGGGGATTTGCACTATTTTCTTGGGATTCAGGTAGTGCGTTCACCATCAAGCTTGTTGTTGTCTCAGCAAAAGTATGTCCAAGATTTACTTCATAAATTCCACTTGCATACTGTCAAGCCTGTACGCACTCCCATTGCATCTAAAGTCACCATGTCCCTCTATGATGGAGAGCTTCTAGCTTATCCTACAGATTATCGTAGTATGGTTGGTGCATTGCAATATTTAACTATGACACGTCCTGATATTGCTTATGTTGTTCATATGGTTTCCTAATTTATGCATGCCCCTCGTACTACTCACCTTCATGCTCTGAAGAGAATTTTCAGGTACTTACGGGGTACTTCAGAGTATGGATTGTTTCTTCACTCCACGGGATCTCCTACCATTGTGATTGCTTACTTAGATACAGATTGGGCTGGCTGCCCAGATGGCCGACGTTCTACTATAGGTTATGCTGTATTTTTAGGGAAAAATTTAATTTCCTGGCGCTCCAAAAAGCAACCTACAGTGTCTAAATCCTCCACTGAAGCTGAATATCGAGCAGTTGCTTACACAGCTGCAGAAACTATTTGGCTTAAGCAACTTCTAGCTGATCTTGATTATTTTCTTCGGCGTCCTGTAACCTTGTACTGTGATAATGTCTCTGCAACATATCCCACTTCCAATCCAGTGCAACACGATCGAAGCAAGCATATTGATGTTGATTACCATTTTGTTCGAGAAATGGTTACTAGTGGTGGTCTTCGTGTTCGTCATGTTCCGACACAATTACAGGTTGCAGATATTGTTACTAAAGGGCTATCTAATGACTTGCTTGGTAAATATAGGGTCAATCTGTCCATAATTGCACCCAGTACAGGTTGAGGGGGTGTATTAGGGCATATGTAAGGACGGATTAGTCAATTCATTATTTAGGTTTTGTATCTCTTATTATATATATACAGCTCTAGGACTCCCTAAGAGAAGTAGAGCTGCATTAATCTAAATACTCGCACATGAGTGTTACCAATGCAAATATGCAATTTGGCATAGTGATTAAGACTAAAAGTCTATATGATAGGTCGCAAGTTTGAATCCTTTACTAGGTCCACCCTAATTATTGTAAATTGTATTGATCTTATGACGCATATAGACCAAAAAATAAAAAATAAATTAAGTGTTTAAGGGGTGCTAATCGAGCGAGTCGATCATGAGCTAAGGGGTGCTCGACTCGACTCAACTCGATTTTTTTTTCATGTGCTCAACTCGTGCTCGTTATTGTTTCGAGCCAATAAAACCTGCTCGACTCGTGCTGGTTAAAGTTTCGAGTCGAGTTGAGTAGCTCACAATCTGCTCATTAAAGTTTTGACCCTTCTAAAATTTTAAGCCTTTATTGTTTTATTCACTTAAAATAGTTTTCTTTTATTTATTATTAAAGATTTAATCTTTCTTTTTTGATAATATAAATTAAATCTTATTAAGTGTCAAGTTTGTTCACGGTAATAACTTTGTTTGTAAATTCTATATTAACAAAATACATTATCGGGTTGCTCACGAGCTTATCGAGTCGAGTTAGAGCTTGCTCAACTCGTGCTCGTTAACATCTTGAGTCAAGTCGAATTCGAGTCGAGCCAATTTGAGCCGAGTTTTGATCGAGTCGAGTCCGAGTTGCTCATGAGCTGCTCAACTCGATTAGCACCCATGTGTTTCCATTCAATTTTTTTTAAAGCTAGTAAAGGAAGAGAGATAGCAAAAAGGCAAATTAGGAAAGAAGCCCACTGGTTAACGAAAAGGGATAGGGGAAGAGATATAGATAATGTGTGGTGGTCGAGGACTGCATCACGTTTATATCATTTCAACAATTTAGAGTACAATATTTATTTATTTATTTTTTGAAGAAAAAGAGTAGAATACAGTATCATTATAGGCATTTATGGTAATTGATTGCAGGCCAGCCAAGGGCCTATGCAAACAAACCCTTAGCACAGGGCCTGAATTATTGAGGGCCCATTTATACATAGCGCCCAATCCTAAGTAATACAAGTGTTAAAAAAATAGCCAACTCTTTTTGCTCAAGCGTAAATCAGAAGTCAACAACTTTCCGTCTTCCTTTCTTCCCGCTTCAATTACTCCCACAAATCAAGCACCTAGATTACCTCGTAAAATGCTCTAAATTTGCTTAAAAATTCTAAAACCTTCTTTCTTCAGTCATTAAATTTCTTTTTTTACCCTGTTTTCAAAAAAAAAAAAAACCTTGTTTTACCCCAAATCTTCAATTTTTCCAAAATAAATGGTTTGCCTTCCTTTATCAATCACAATGGTTATGACGAGGATTTTCTCAATTCCTGAATGACTTCTAATGGAGGAATTAATTTTGTATTTTCCACAATTAAAACACTTGATTATGGAAACAACTTATGTATAGAATTTCATTTCTTTTATGAGTTATTCATTTATTATTGCCAATATTTGATTTTTAAAGGAGGAAATAAAGAAAAATATGAGTATTCCCCTGAGTCGGTGAGTCAATGAGTTGCGGCAATTGAAGTTGTGGGAAACGTTTATAAGTTTATTGCTCCTAAGTTGTTTCCATTCTCTTTTCACTTTTACCTTTTTCCTGTTCACTTCACTTTATTTTTGTTGAACTGAACTTATTTTTACTGAACTTGAATTATTTTTACCGAATTGAAATTATTTTTGCTGAACTTAAATTAGTTTTACTGAACTGAAATTATTTTTACCGAGTTGAAATTATTCTTGCTGAACTGAACTTATTTTTACTGAATTTAAATTATTTTTACCTAATTGAAATTATTTTTACTTAATATTATTTTTTTAGGTGAAGTGAATAGGGCCTAATTGTTGAATATTAGATTTTTTTGAGTGCATTGTTTGTTTAATTATTAAATACTGATGTTCCCTCAAAAAAAAGATTAAATACTAATGTAGTTTTTCTTTTTTAAATTATGTCTCCCAAATAATCTTTTGGAGAAGGTGCAATATGAAGACTTGTTGATGAATTTGCTACAAAAATTGCTAGAATTTTTATTTTTATTTTTATTTTTATTTTTAACTTGAAGTTGTATTGGGGTTTTGGGATATGATTTACTATATATTTAAATAAATCAGTTTGAGTTTTTGTGCTTGGTTGTTTGAAATGTTGTAATATGATTGATTATATTGAAATAATACCTAATATGTTTTTTTAAAAAAATAAAAAATAATAATACCTACTTCCTTCGTTTTAGTAATATTAATTATATAGCAACAACTGGACTTTTACACTATTCATTATGCTTGTTTTACCACATATTATGATTTATACGTAAAGTAAAATATAGTCATGTGGGGTCTTGTTAGATTCGTCTTGTAAAATACTTTCACAATATCAACTTTTTATAATTTGTACTCTTATATAATTATAGATATTTAGCATATAAAATGTGCTTTGGAATGCGTAATTTCATCCTTGTTACAATATTTGTGGAACAGAAGAAGTAATAAATAATTTTAACTTTCTATTAGGGCCTAATTTCTAAGTATAGAACATGGCCTCTAAAATGGCTAGACAATCCAGACTGATTAGTTAATGGGACTTCAATTTTCACAAGCGAAATTTTCGATAATGTCATGTTATACATACATTAGGTAAAGCTATACCTGGTAGAGATGCTCTGCATGCTAAATTGGATCATATACAAAGTGAGTTTGATATGTTTCTCTCTTCGACTACGTATGGACGGTATTATGGTATGTGTGCGTGCATGCATGCATGTCAATTATTGGATCATTTCCTTGCTCTTACATCCGAATGTCCGATCCGATCCTCAAATCATGTTCATGTATTGTCTTATTGAAAATGAAATCCCTAAAATAAATATGTATGGTGTTTGGAATAATGTCACACACTCACACAAACACAAGACACATGCACTCCACTACTTCGGTCAATTAAGGCCTTGGTGTTGTCAATTTGAGGAGGAGGATTATGTGGTGAAAGGGAGTGTTGTATGTGAGAAGATTATTGATGCCTATGAGCCATCAAAATTGAATACTACCTATACACTTTTGCAAATTACCCGTCAATTATAGATTTTGGTCTTTTAGATGCTATTGAGAAACATTATTATTTCCGCTACTTTCAGATAAGTGTATTATATCACTTTAACTTTTGCACTGTTCCTAAACTAATTTTGACCATTTATTATCATTTAATATATGAATGTAATTGTACTTGTGTAAAATGTTATTTACTTTATTTTAGATTAGTCGTCAGATCACGGTACATATTTTCACAACACTATATTAATTTTTATAGTTCATACTAATAAAAATGTACTGTTATTAATGGTCAATTTGTGCATTTACTCGGGGAATATATCTAAATATTTTTTAAAATACTACTCACCACTACTTTATTGATTGGTGTACTTCAAATTAATATTTGGTATGAATGTGTGTGGCTGCTAATTAAGTGCTATGCGGTTAGAGTAATGCCCCTAATAAAGAGTTAAAGATTTAATCTCATTGATATAGTGGTTGAAAATTCGGGTCTCATACCTCCCTTACACAACGCATCCAACTGTCAATTTAACACAGTTTAATCGTAGAAAAGAACTAAACTTATACCAAGTATGTAAAGAGGTAGGGTTATGTGGAGTAGTGTTTAACCTAGTTCTAATATTCAAAGTTACCCAAAAACTTTTGCCACACAATCCTTATCTGTCCACATAAGTATCCACTATTTCCATATTCCAAAGACCATGCAAAAAAAAAAAAAAAAATGAAAAATAAAAAAAATAAAATAAAAAAACCTCCACACAACATAGGAGGATAAGATCAAAGATGATTATGTCCTCAACAAATTGTAGCCATGATACATTAGCTAACTTGTCAGCCACGCAGTTTGACTAATACTTGTAAAATTCTCCTCATGTAAAAAACCCTTCATTAAAAAAAATAAAAAATAAAAAATAAAAAAAATGTCAATATCAATATATCATGAAAACTAAGTTTTATTCTAGGAAGATAAAGTACAGCTATTAAACAAAACAAAATTTTACAACTGGCTAAATGGCTTGCTGACCAATCAGAATTTTTTGTTTAAGAAATTAGCTTTTATTTTTGAATGGAATTGCTGATCTGTTATTTTTTAATTGGGTAAAATAAAAAAGGGCAAAAAAATTAATTTGTGGATTTGTGGTTGAGCTAGTGGACTTAGTATCAAATAATGGAATCTTGGAATATAATTTTCAAGATTTGCCCAACTTAACCAATGGCCGGTGCATATTAGTAGGTAGTCATTTTAGTGATGATTATTATACTATTGCACTTTATTTTTAAGGTTAATTGTGATCATACTATTATAAGATTTATATTTCATTGTTTAGTTTATTTTCATGGTCCTAAAATTTGAGACGGAAAGGGTTTTAACAACTTTAAATTTTGTTGTTGTCAATGACCTATAAATTGTTTGCACGAGTTCAATTAGAAATAGAAAAGTGATGTATGTTGTGAATTTCTTATTCGATGGGTGATAGATAATGATAAGCTTTACAAAAACGGAGTGTGTTATAAGGTTTTTTATAATTATGTGAATTTAAACTAATTGTTAAAGTACTTTATTTTACTTTGTAGTTTGCATTTTAACTTTTTTTTTACAATTTATTTCATGTCTTTGTTGGGTCTTATTTATTTACACCTTAACATATACACCGTATTATCTTTATAAATCACGAGTTGGAAACGAGTCATGATACAAACAATTTTCCTTTCTTGAAATAGTAAAAACTTCATGCATCGTTGAATCATTTGTCATTCTTGGAATTCAGAAGTGTAATCAGGTAAATAGCATATATCAATTAAGTGTCTATATTAATTGTAAGAAGACAAATGTGGAAAGAGCACAAGACTAGTAGTACATGAGATGCAATATTAGATCAATTCCAGACATGTTAAATAGTAAAATTAGCAATATCGGAATCCATGTAGATGATAGTGCTATTAATCTCAACAAGTTACACCACTACTTAAGATGTCTTTGCTACTTAATTAGGCGTTTAAGTGACTTAACCCCTATAAGCATTATTATTAATGGTTGGTACTTAGTGTACATCCATTTTGGTAGTAGTAAAGTACTACACTCACATCAATTAATACAATAAATATACATAATGAAGTTTATTTCACTTCACTTAAACTTAAACAAGAATAAGTGTCCTTACTTAAAACCAAAGAAATACTCTCTATGTTTGTATATATGTTTACATTAGTTTTCAATGCACATTTTCAATCTTGTGCTATTAAAAGTTATGAAAAATAGAAGTTATGAAAAATAGATAGAGCATCTTTTAATAATGGAAGGATTAAAAAACTTAAACATATTAGGTTTAATAGAAAGACATTGTGTGATTTAAATGGTATGAATAGAAGTGGTGTTAATGATTCAATGCAATTCGGCCTCGAGCTCAGGTTCAAAACTATCAATAATCTAAAATTTAAAACATGACTGAACTTAAAAACTCAAACCTCATCATCTTAAGTTTGAAGTCATTTCAATTCAAGATCAACTCAAATTATTGACCAGATATCATTAGACCATCTTATACAAGATTTCACGCGGGGATTAGAAAAGGAGAAGAACGAGAGAGCGTTTACAACGACAATAATTCTAGTGGCGTCTCAAAGCTTGATCATTTTGTCTCTCTTTCATTCTCTCTCCTCAATTGCGCCAAATAGTAGCAGAAACCCGAGAATAAATCATTGACAAGATCTCTCTATATCTTTCTGATCCTCTCAACTCTAACCCCAACTCTTTCTCTTTCTATAACCAAGTCTTTCCCTAATTTCTTCTTCATAATCTTATTTAAATTTCCCCCCTTTTAAACATTATTTGATTTTATTTATTAATTTCTTCCTACCCATTTCATCATTTCTCAGAAAAATTCAATCTTTAATGTTTTGATCGATTGATATGAGCTGTTGTGCATTTGGGTCGGAGTGATTTCGCCGGTAAATCATGCCTCCGGCAGTAAATTTGATGGAAATGGCGGAATCGTTGCCGTGTTCTTCTTCAATGGAGTCGCGTTTTCCTGATCTTAGAAGTGTTCGATGGCGTATAAATCTTGGGGTTCTTCCCTCTTCTTCCTCCTCCATTGATGATCTTCGCCGCGTCTCCGCCGATTCTCGTCGTCGGTAATTTCTTCTTTCTAATTAGCTTGCTTACTTGTTAATTAATTTTAATCTGGAAATAAAAATTAGGTTTCATGTTGTTGGCATCAGGTTTATTGAATTGGGTTTTGGTTTTTAGATGATTTGGTTTCTGGGTTTTAAGTTTTATTAGCTTATTTGTTTGACTGTATTTTATTGATGAAATCAATTGGAATTTCATGAATTAATTATAATTTTGTCCTTATTGTTAGTTACATGATTGAGCTTACCTGAATTCATTTTTTTGTAATTTATAAGAAGATATTTATTATTGTATTAGTCACAAGATTCACAACATACCTTAATGTACTCCATAGTTAACAGTGTGGAAAACTGCCGAATTTTGATTAATGAGTTTAGAGTTTTGAAAAAAAAATCATTTGGAGGGTTGAATTTGTGGTATTTAGTCATTTTTACTCGGGCGAATATTAATTGTTTGCAAATACATTGGTTTCGCTTGTGTTTTCGATGATTTAGCTGATGTTGGATGCAGTACATTCTTATTACTTGCAACTGAAGGATACATGTTATAATGTTTGACTTGTTCGTTGATATCTTTTGGATTTACTCTTAATTGCTAGAGTTGAATCGTCTTCACAGCACATAATCCTGTTTCATCTAGTTAAAACCTGGCATTTCATGTACTTAAGTATGAATTTAGCCGACGTTTCCCCAATGGAATAATTATAGAATATAATTGACATAAACTCTTTCAGTTTATTGGAAAGACGTAAAATATTCAGAGATGAATTTGTATGGTATAGAGAGATTCCAACCACCCAAGTAAAAAATTCATACTAAAAGTAAAGAGATAAATTTAGATAAGGCGCCACTTAAAGTAAACCAAATTCATCAACTCAATATGATACCCTGCTTGATTTGCTTTGGTAATGCACTGTAATATCATCTAGTAAAATCTAGACAAATTATATTTGTTTCTTGAAAGAATCTAGATTTGTTTCTTGTTCTGAAGAGAAGTAATGTTTTTTCCACAGGTATGCTGCCTTAAGGAGGTGCCTCCTTGTTGATCCACACGTAACCAAATTTAGTGACAATTCTTCAGATCTAGTTGTAGATAATCCACTATCCCAAAATCCTGGTGAGCTTTATTTTATGCATTTTTGAACAGATTTATATAATATATACTGTACCTTGGGTTTGTTGCTTCGAATCCTCCTCTATATCTCATTTATTCTTCATTTTATCATGTATCTATATCAGACACTCTACATTCCAGTAGTGTGAAATCCCTACCTCACATCACTTATCATGAACTGGATAATTTGTAGAGAAAAGTGATAACAAGAAAGGAGAAATATATAGAAAAAGTTTGTTGTGTATGCTCAAGTACTCATAGAAAGGGGATATCCGATGAAAGTGGAATATCTAAGTTGTAACTGTGCTGTTTGTTGTGCAGATAGCACATGGGGTCGCTTTTTTCGAAATGCAGAGTTGGAACAAATGGTTGACAAAGATTTATCTCGCTTGTACCCTGAGCATGGTAGTTATTTCCAGACACCAGGATGTCAAGGCTTGTTGAGGCGGATTTTATTGTTGTGGTGCCTTCGACATCCAGAATGTGGTTACAGACAAGGTAGAGTGCTGCTTTGATTAGTACTAGAGTTGTTTTTGATGGTGAGACTTGGATGGTTGTAAAAGTTAACATAGTGTGTATGATGAGTCGTCTTTAAATTTCCTTGATAATATAGTTTTCTGCATCAAGGGGTCAGAACTCATGGAGCCATATCTTATGAATTTCTTGATTAAGTGGATGTTAATTATGATCACTTAGGAATCAAGATTTCTCCTCTTGCTACTAATTCTTTTTTTTTTTTGTCCGTATTCCAATTGTAGGGATGCATGAACTGTTGGCTCCTTTATTATATGTACTTCATGCTGATATTCAGCATCTTAATGAAGTTCGCCAAATTTATGAAGAGCACTTTGTAGACAAATTTGATGAGGTTTTGTTGCATGAAAGTCATGATTTCAATTTCAAGATATCTGTGAATAGTCTAGAAGATGATGCTAGCCCTCAAGAAAGACCCAGGAAACATACGAGTTTTTCTGAACTTGATGCCAGTGTACAAACCATTGTTCAGCTAAGTGATCCTTACGGGGCAGAGGGTGAGCTTGGCATTTTGTTATCCGAAAAGTTTATGGAACATGATGCATACTGTATGTTTGATGCTTTGATGAGCGGAGCAGGTGGTGCTGTAGCCATGGCTGAGTTTTTCTCCCATCCACCTGCAAATGCCACCCAAACTGGCTTACCTCCAGTCATTGAAGCTTCATTGGCACTTTACCATTTGCTTTCCATTGTTGATTCCTCACTGTACAATCACCTTGCTGAACTAGGTGTTGAACCTCAATACTTTGCTCTTCGTTGGTTACGTGTTCTATTTGGCCGTGAGTTTTCTCTTGAGAACCTGCTGGTTATCTGGGATGAGATGTTTTCATATGATAACAGTGCATCTGGTACAGCTCCTGCAAATGATCCTGGGGTCTTGAACTCCCTCAGGGGAGCGTTTATCTCTGCCATGGCTGTAGCCATGATGCTCAATGTGAGATCTTCTCTGCTTGCCACTGAATATGTCACTTCGTGCCTTCAAAGATTACTCAATTTCCCTAAAAACATAGACCTGGAGAAATTGATAGGAAAAGCGAAATCTTTGGTGGCACTTGCTCTAGCTGCTAACGTTCCTTCACATTCTACTCCAGTGATTGGGCTTGGCCCCCTTGGCCCCCAGAGCAAGCAAATGGCAGTGAAAGGTCATGCACATAGCCTTTCATTTGATTCACGTGGTCCAGGAACACCTGTGAGTCTTGTACCTGAGACATATTGGGAAGAGAAATGGAGAGTTGCACAGGAGGTAGAAGAAACTAAGAAGGAAACTTCTGCCAAACAGGTATCATCTCAGAAGAAAGGTTGGACAGAGAAGATCAAATCAAGGTTATCTAGAACGGAATCTGACCCATCTCCATCAAAAAAAGAAAGTAGACAGAAGGATAAAAGACCAGCTGTCAGAAGAAGTCTGCTTGAAGATTTGTCCCAGCAGCTGAACTTTGGGGAAGATTCTGAAGAAACAGATCATGATAAATTTTCTTGTCTCGAGGACCCCCGTTATATTGAGTCTGATGTATATGTTCTAGATGCTGAGCATGAAAATGATGCTTACTCTGGCGAGAGATGTTCTGGCCTGAGTATTGCCAGTGAAGAGCATTCTCCTGCCTTTTCAGAGCCACTGAGTCCTGCTGAAAATGACTCTGAGAAGAGCAGTAATGCATCACATGTATCCCATGATTCAATTGATGGCGAAACCCATGATTCTTCTTCGTTTCAGTCCACTGCAGAAGAGTCACTGCTACCAATTTCTGATGCTCCGGATGCAAATGCTGATGGATTGTTTGGTTCTGATAGTAGCTCAAAAGAAATATCAGCAACAGCTTCAAAGGAACGAAAAGGTTTATCTGGGAAGTTTCAGTGGTTCTGGAAGTTTGGGCGCCAATCTTCTGGTGAGGGAACTTCTGATAAAGGGCCTGAGGTTGAGGATGTAAAATCATCTGATGCAGGAAGTCTTCAGGTAAATAAACCAGGATCTTCTGTTGATGAGACAAATTACAGCCTTGCGAATATAAAATCAGATGGCTGTGACCAGAAAATGTTATGTGCGTTGAGGAACCTTGGCCAATCTATGCTGGAAAATATTCAGGTATTGCTCAAAGTCGAACCTATGGACTTTCTTATTTTCTCTCTTCAATGATCAGATTTAGTTGTTTGCTTTCAATAAAATAGCTATAATTGTTTTTCACATTTTTATAAATGAAACATGACTACATGAGAACCATGCTTTTTTGTGTTAATGTAAAACCATAGTGGAACATATTGATTGTTTATCCGTAATCCTCTGAAATTAGCATGACTTACTGACAAGTGACAACTATATGGTCTAGCAATCTTTGTAAGCGAACTAGAACAAAAATAAAGGGGTGCTTCCGAATAACCAATGTACCCTATCAATGATAGACTCTAGGGCATTCTACCCCCACCCCTTCTTTTCCTTGAGCTAGTTTTGCAGTAAAGATACCAAAGATAAGGTCAAATCCTGGAGATTGTCTAATAACTAATTTGTTCCCCCCCCCCCCTCCCCTGGGTTCCTCTCTATCAACACCAAGGTGATGCAATGTAGGCCCATGCCATTGATTGTTTAGCTATGACTTCGAACTCAATGTATGCGAGCTTGTGAGGCTGCGATTGTTGGTCTTCAGCCACTGATTTAGGGCCACATTATAGATTGAAGGCAAGTTGTGTTATGTACGGAGTTTTTCTCCTTTTGTGTGTGTGTGTGTGTGTGTGGAGGGGACTATTTTGGTATGTAATAGAGAATTTGTCTGAGCTTCTATCATTGACAGAGACGTGAGATTATATCCCTGCTTAAAAACCTCAGGCCTTTAGGTGGTCCATTGTTGGGTCTAAAGATTCTAAACTAACTTCAATTTTGGTACTCTACTGTTTTTTGCTTTCTAGTTCGATGATTAGTAAAAAGGTTTATGGCGTAATGTTACTACAACTCAATGTTGATATATTCAATCAATCCCCCCCCCTTTTGCTATCTCTTAGTGTTTCCCATTTACTGGTAGATATTTGATGTCTTCGGAAGTTAAAATTTTTAGGTGGTCCAAATCCAACTTTTGGTAAGACCGTGATGTAGGTTGTAGAAAGCAGCTGTTACTGAGGCAGTTTATGCAGATTGCAGAATTACGGTACATAAGTCATTCTATGGGGAAATTGTTCAGTGGGGGTGGCTAAATATGAAATGCTTAGCGTTATGCTCTACTAATAAGAGAAAATCCACTGTTGATGTCTGGAGATTACGTACTAGCATTGTAATTGATAGTCATATCTTGTGAAAGTTGAAGAGCTCTGTCTGACAGCTGATCTATTTATTTTGTGTCTTCCACTGTTGATTAATGATCGTGCGACCTGTGTGGCAGGTAATCGAGTCAACATTCCAGCAAGAAAAAAGTCAAGCTGGCTCATTAGATAGCCTTTCTAAACATGCCCTTGTTGAGAAAGGGCAGGTAACTGCAATAACTGCTCTTAAGGAGCTTCGGAATATCAGCAACCTTCTACGGGAGATGTGAGGCTGGTTCAACTTCTCTTTCACCTGTATATAATATTGATTTTGTAGCTAAATGCTTCTACATGTATACAAAGAATAAAGAGAAATTCTGTATTAGCTCAGCTTTAGTAGATTGAATTGTCTGAGAGCCTGAAGAGCAATTTGTAAATGAGAAATGCCATTTGTTTCTTTGAATCCGTTATGGATATCCCATTTTGTCGATTAATTGCAAAGACTCCTCCAGTTTTGGGCATTCTTGATGCATGGCTATTTACTTCGGTTTCTTGAAATATTGCAGGAATACTCTTTACAGATTGTGAATGCAGGTTTGCTATTCGCAAGTTGATATGATGTGCTGAATTGTGAAATCTTTTTTAAAATCGTAAATGAGATAAATCTAATATATATGGAGATTTTGTCAGAAAAAATCTTTTAAATTTTTTTTGGCAACTACAAACCAGATTGTAAAATTTTTTTGTTCAAGACAACCAAGGCTCACATTCCGGCATTGATCCTCCATGTGTTGGTCACGTGACCTTTTTTTTTCTTTTTTACTATCTCACCCCTTTTCTTCTAATTTCCCCCCGAATTTCCCTCTAACCTCAATTGTTTTTAATCTTCCCCCTTTTCTTCTAATTGTCCCCCATCTTTTCTCTCCTCTCTTCAAAAATGAGGTAATAAATCATTTTCAACCTATTCTCTGCCATGGCTTCATCCTAAACCTGCAAATTAATCAATGAAGATATGAAGTGAAGTTAATTTACACCCACCCTAAACAGTAAGTTTAGTTAATTTATTGTATCTAAATGATTTTATATCCTTTTTTTTGGGTATTATTTTCTGAAATTTTGCTGCAACTGCTCTGCCATGGGTAAAGAACAAAGCAAGGAAGGAAGGAGGAAAGGAGTTGCGTCATGTTCTAAGAAGCTAAGGACGGCCAATTACAAAGTTATACATAAACCCAGATACTTGGATGGAGCCATGGTTGCTACATAATTGAGATAAATAGATGTTGTTAGCACAAATTAAAAAGGGGCAAAAAAAACCCTAAATATTTAAATACCTGCAAAATTGATGATCTGGGCAACAATTATAGAACAATGTAAGTGTATCCTTGGTCGAAATTAATTGCCAAAAACAATTACTGCAATTAATTCAAACTACCATGCTCGAAAGATCTTCAATAAGAGAACAACCTAGCTAGTAAGAGAAAAGAGAGAAGATGGGGGGAAATTAGAAGAAAAGGGGGAAGATTAAAAACAATAGAGGTTAGAGGGAAGTTAGGGGGGAACTTAAAAGAAAAAGGGTGGGATTAGTAAAAAAAAAAAAAAAAAAAAAAAAAAAAGGGCATGTGACCTGCACATGGGGGGTCAACGCCGGAAATGACCAAGTCAATGCCGAAATGTGAGCCTTGGTTGTTTTGAACAAAAAAAATTTTACAATCTGGTTTGTAGTCGCCACAAAAATTTTAAAAGGTTTTTCCCAACAAAAAGCTGTTTTAAAAGATTTAAACTAGAGGTGGGCATGGGCCGTGCTTGCACGCGGGCGGCCCGGGCCCAGCACGGTGGTCAAGGCGTGGGCCGTGTCGTGGACAAGGTTTTTGGAATTCAGCACGCGCACGAGTGGCGGCATGAGTTTTGGCCCACGGGCCCGGCCCGCCGGCACGGCACGAGGCACGACCCATGCTAGCCAGGCACGTGCCCAACGGATATAAACGACTACTTAGTGATTTCTCCAACAGCATTAAAACGTTCATAAACGGTCGTATTAACGGCTATAATAACGGCTACTTTGCTTCCTAATTCCTATAAATACTTCACTTCTTCCTCCATTTTTTTCCACAACTCATCTTCTCATATTCTCTAATTACTACTCTCTTATAATCACTACTTCTCAAAAAAAAAATCTCATATAATCTTTAATTCTCTCAATTATAAAAGTTAATATAAAAAAAAATTATAAGTTTGGGAAATTAATTAGCGGAAAGCAATCGAAGCATCGTTGTAAGATCTAACTCAAAGTTATTTTAATTTGTTATTGTTATTGTTATTGTTATTGTTATTGATATTGTTGTTGTTGTTATTATTATTATTATTATTATTATTATTATTATTATTATTATTATTATTATTATTATTATTATTATGGTATTATTATTATTATTATTATTATTATTGTTTATATTAATTAATTATTGTTCTTGTCACTATTTTTATTGTTATTGTTATTATTATTGTTGTTATTATTATTATTTATTATTGCTATTGTTATTTGTATTATTATTATTGTTGATATTATTATTGTTATTATTATTAATTATGGCATCAAACCTGAACCCTTCTTCCTCCTCTAGGAAAGCCAAGTCAAAACGTACTAGTACTAGTAGGGAACCACCAAATCCAAACATTTCAGTGCCCCCTTCTCCTACCATGCCCAATCCGAACATTACCACCCCCTTCTCCTATCCCCAAACCATGGGAGGATTTCAACAATTTAACGATATGTCTCCTTGGATTATGTCTAGTTCGGGATTTCAAGTAAACCAATTCTCACCTCATTTATACGGCTCGCAACATAAATTTTCTTATCAAACTACTAAAAATAGCCAAACAAATGCCACCGGGTCAAGTGAACAATCCCCCGAAATTCCAAATACCGAAATTCTAAAAACATCATAATGGTGTACCGAAGAGGAACTTGCCAATAGCAAGCGAAAGAGTAATGTTTGGGGATTTTTTCTATTAAGTAGAGATGGACTTAGGGCCAAGTGTAAGACATGTCAAAGAACTTTCTCGGCCGATACCAAGGGAGGGACGGGACACCTTAGTAGACATGTAAAAAAATGTGGTGGTCCATCTAGTGATGCAACTCAACTCAAAATTTCTCAATTCCACCCACAAGGTTTCACTTACAGTTATGAGAGAGATAGAGATGAACTTGGGAGAATGTTAGTACATGCCGAACAACCTTTTCTTTTTGCCGAAAATGATGCCTTCAACAATTACATTAACCGAGCACTACAACCCCAACACAAAAAAAAATCTCTAGAAAAACTGCCCGTTCGGCTGCCATGAAATCTTTTCTAGAGTACAAAATGAAGTTATGTGATGAATTAAGTAATCTTACTTGTAGAGTTTCTTTGACTGTTGATGCATGGGATAGTGGTTACGGATATCACTATTTGTGTGTGACTTGTCATTGGTTGGATAGTGATTGGTTATTACAAAAACGCATTATTCATTTTAAAATGCTTGAATACCCCCACGCCGGTCTTAATATTGCTCATCATTTAATGCAAGCTATTGATGCATATAATCTTAGGTCCAAAATCATGTCTATGACTTTTGATAATTCAACTTCTATGACATTTTGTGCAAATTTAATTAAAACACAATTGACCGACTTCATATTAGATGGAGATGCACTTCATATTAGATGCATTTGTCATGTTCTTAACTTGTGTGTGAAGGATGGAACACAAGCAATTGGTCCATTTTATCACAAAATTAGAAATATTATTTTGTCTATTAACAGTTCTAACATGAGATTTCAGGAATGGAAAGCTTTTTGCAGGCAACAATGGATAAAGGCTATTAAAATATCAACGGATTGCGTAACTAGGTGGAACTCCACCTATAAAATGTTGAGTAGGGCAATCGAGTACAAGGGTGCATTGACAATTTTTTATAATAAAAAATTTCCACAATTTGCTTTACTAGATGATGATTGGTCTAATTGTGAAAAATATATGTAGTTTTTACAATTATTGTATAGTATGACACATTGTTTTTCTTCTGTTTATAATCCTTGTGCTCATTCTTTTCTTAGTCATGCATGTTTACTTGCACAACTTTTCGATGAATACCGATCACAACACGATTATGATGGATATCTTCCATCAATAGAGGTAAAATGGCGGAAATATTACACTACTATTCCTATGATTTATATTTTTGCTTCTATATTAGATCCTAGACAAAAGTATGATGGCACATTTTTGTTAATTGATATTTATTTTCAATGCATGAATTTTGAAGATGATGTTGATTCTTATAAAAGTAATGTAACCGATCAATTTTTTTCCTTATATAGAGTGTATGAATCTATATATGGAATCGTGACTAGATTTGCTCCTTCTCAATCATCCAAAGATATAAGTAAAAGGGCCAAAGGTTTATTTGCACAAGCTGCTAACATGATGTCTAAGTTTTCAGGTACTGAATCATCATCTAGGAGAACACAAAGCGATGTTTCGGAGTTGCAAATGTACTTAAGTTACGACTTCATGAAAGGCATGGATGACGAAGAGAAGTACGGCCTCGACATCCTTGAATGGTGGAAATCACAAAACTCAAGCATCCAATTTTGGCGGCAATGGCACGAGATATTTATGCTATCCAAGTCTCCTCTGTTGCCTCCGAACGAGCTTTTAGTGCATCAGGGAGGGTTTTAGACGATAGAAGAACAAAACTAAAACCCGAAACACTTGAAATGTGTGTTTGTTACAAGGATTGGTTGGATGCCGAAACTCGCTGCCAAGATCGTACTTATGTACAAAACGACGATGATGAAGGAACGTCGGGTTCTACTAGTTCTCAATCAACGCAGTTGGTCGATGAACAAGAATAAGAAGATGAAGACGAAGATAACCAAGAAGAATAATTATAGCTAATTTTTGTATTATTGCACCCTATATAATAAAATAAGCTAACTTATTCATCAATTATTGTACGATTTTATCATTATAAATTATTGTATTATCGATTTATCGTACCAGCTTATAATAAAATTAAATAAGTTATTCATCAATTTCTGTGTTTTCGCACTTCTAAATTTTTTAATGTGCATTGTTACTTTTTGCTAAATAATAATAAATATGTATAATAATAATAATAATTAATTATGATAAAATTAGTAATAAAAATAACATAAATAATGAAGAGTAAAAGAACTATAATAATAAAAAGCACATTAAGTCATTAACAATATAATAAATAAATAATACAAAAACATAAATATAAATTAATAAAATTGTTTAAATATACTTATCGACTTATCGTACAAGTTGTTAAAAAAATATATATAATTTTTTATTTTATTTTTTTAAAAAAAAAAATAAAAATAAAAATGTGGAGGCCCGCTGCCCGGCACGGCAGACACGTGGGCCGTGGGCTGGGGTGTGCCAAAATATGGCACGGCACGACATGACACGCTACCTGGAAGGCACAGCACG